GAATGGCCTATGTACCGAAGGGAAAACCCGATGATTATTATCGCCACAAAAGAGGTCTTGGCTATGTCTATTCATCCGACGATGAATGTTGCTGGCAAGTCATCGATCAAATTGCTAACAAGGCTAGAAAAGGATACTCTTCTGACTCTTCGGCTTGGGGTTCCGACGCTAGCCTTGGTGAAATGTTCAAAAAGTTAATGTCGAACATGGTTACGGTCGATCCTACCACAATAGAGGAAGACGACCAGATGCCGACATGGGAGGTTCGAACAAAGAGAACCTCCTACCGAAGATCAAGTAGTCCAAGTGAATATGGGAAGTGAGGAAAATCCGAAGCCGATATTCATTAGCGACAGTCTCCTACCCGAGGAGAAAGAAGAGTTAATCTCTCTTATCAGGGAATACATCGATGTGTTCGCCTGGAATTATGAAGACATGCCGGGGCTCGATCCAAACGTAGCAGTGCATCGCCTCAATATTAAGTCGAATGTCAAACCTGTCAAACAACAACAAAGACGGTTTCGTCCGCAAATGATGGAGGCGATCGAAGCTGAGGTTAAAAAGCTTGTCGACTCTGGCTTCATTAGGGAAGAGCAACATCCAGAGTGGCTTGCCAATATTGTCCCAGTCCTTAAAAAGAACGGGAAGGTCAGGATTTGCATCGACTTAGCCCATCAATTGAAGATGAATCCTACCAAGTCTTTCCTCGGAATGTCTAGTGGTAAATTCCTGGGATTCGTCGTCACCACCAAAGGTATTCACATCGATCCTGATAAGGTAAAGGCGATTAATGAATTGCAGCCTCCGAGAAACCTCAAGGAGCTCAGAGGATTGCAAGGGCGATTAGCTTATATTCGTCGGTTCATCTCGAACCTCTCAGGAAAATGCCAACCATTCTCCAAGCTCGCAAAGAAGGGCGTGTCTTTTGTATGGGATGACGCTTGTCAAAAGGCATTCGAGAGTATTAAAGAATATCTCTCGAAACCTCCTGTACTCGTTGCACCGAAATCGGGCAAACCGTTCTTGATTTATGTCAAGGCGACGAGCCACTCATTAAGTGCATTACTTGCACAAGATGACGATAACGGTCATGAGCAGGCAGTATATTATTTGAGCCGAACCATGGTAGGCGCCGAATCTCGATATCCTATGATTGAGAGAGAATGCCTCGCCTTGGTGTTCGCTATTCAGAAGATGCGGCATTATCTGGTCGGGCAGACCATTTATGTTATCTCTAAAGTTAATCCGGTTCGAGTATTCATGACTCAACCCGCTTCCATGAGCTGGCGATTAGCAAAATGGGCCTTACTCTTGTCCCAATACGACTTGCATTTTAAACAACAGAAGTCAGTAAAAGGGCAGGCCATCTGTGATCTCCTGGCAGCTAATCCAACTACGGACACCGCCGAGATATATGACGATCTACCCGACGAAGCCCACGAAGTCAACGCAACTTCGCACCAACAAGTATGGCGTTTGTACTTCGATGGCGCTTCCCGAGCAGCTATTGTCACAGGTGCTCCTGGAAGGTCTAAGATTTCTTCCGGAGTGGGAGTTGTCTTAGTTTCCCCAGGAAAACATGTGATGCCTCGCGCCTACTCGCTAACCGAGCCATGCTCGAATAATGTAGCAGAGTATAACGCATTGATTATAGGACTCAATTTCGCTAAGGAGCTGGGGGTTGAGTATCTCGAGGCTTTCGGCGATTCTCAGCTAATAGTCAAGCAAGTGCAAGGAGAATATGAAGTCCGAAGTCAAGATTTGATACCATACCATAAGATGGCAGTGGAGATGGCGGAATCATTCGAAGGATTCTTTATCGAACATATTCCACGACTACAGAATACCTATGCAGATGCGTTAGCAGCATTGGCCGTATCTCTGGCACAACCTCCCGAAGCAGAGCAGTTTGTTACGGTAAGAACTCACCAACTCCTAATACCGCTTTACAATGAAGATGCCAAGGAAGAAGAGGTTCAAGAGGCGCACGCTACTCGAATCGAGTTCGAACCACGAGATTGGCGTTTCCCCATCATCGACTACGTCTTGCATGGAATCTTGCCAGAAGATGTGAAGGAAAGAGAGTCAATCCGGCGAAGAGCACCCAGATTCTACTATAATGCGGAGAATCGAACGCTATACCGCAGGGGGTACGATGGGTTGCTATTGCGTTGCTTATCAACCAAAGAAGCTGAAGAGGTCCTTAGGGAGGCGCATGAAGGGGAGTGTGGCGCACACCAACCTGGCCCCAAGCTTTATGATCGCATTAGAAGAATGGGGTATTTTTGGCCTTCCATGATGAGTGATGCAGTCGCATATGCCCGAAAGTGTGACGCATGTCAAGTACACGGGAATTATGTACACCAACCGCCGGAGCATCTGCATCCCTCGGTTACGTCATGGCCGTTCGAGACTTGGGGAATGGACATTGTTGGTCCTATAAATCCCCCATCAGTCAAAGGCGACCGGTTCATCTTGGCAATTACCGATTACTTCTCCAAATGGGCCGAAGCAGTTCCACTCAG